TGACAAAAAAATTACAACTTCAAAAAACTCGCTATGCCTGTTATGAAATACGTCGGACTGTCTACATTGCAAAAAGGGGTCATTTGGGGATATCTGTACTGTTCTGACATTCTTGTACCTCAAGAAATTAGATTGGCTGTCAGTACTTCAGGATTGATCAATTTTCAGATCTATACCATAGTTTGTGAACTCTATAACTTTCCTACAAACTAAATAATACATCCTAATTTGGGTTATTTTCCCCAAAGAAATGCAGCAGAATACATCTTGGCCTAAATTTATGAAGAACAATTATTCATTTGCAAACTTTTAGAACAGAAATAAAGAAAAATGTGTTTGTTTTTTTTTTTCAAAATTTTTGGAGTTTTTTTGTTTGGCAAAAAATTAAAACCCCAGTGGTGATTAAATACCACCAAAAGAAAGCTCTAGTTGTGTGAAGAAAATGATAAAATTTTAGTTTGGGTACAATGTTGTATTACCGCGCAATTGTCATTCAAAGTGTGAAAGCGCTGAAACCTGAAAATTGGCCTGGGCAGGAAGGGGGTAAAAATGCCCTGTATGGAAGAGGTTAAACTAGTACTAATGCCTATTATTATTATTATTATATACTTTTTTTTTCTTTTTTAATCAGTAATTATTGGCTTGTTCAAGTAGATTTGCTCACTATACATTTTAAAAACACTTTGTTATTAGTGTCCAACCCTCACTTTATTCTGCATTTTTTTAAGTGTGTATTCATAGTGTTTTCTGGTTCTAAAACTTCACATGCAGAACATTATTTTATTTTTTTCTCTGAAGCTCCCATCCTATTATTCAGCAGCAACTAAAGTTGGGATATATTATCCAACTGCAAACCATTAATGTGACACATGAAAAGTAGCTTGTTCCAACAGAATTATTATGACTGCTGCAATTTGTATTATAATTGGTTTTGAAACCGTAGGAACAATTTACAGTAACTATTGTTACAATACAGCAACAGATTAGCTTCTACTGCCTCATGTGAGTTATAATACTTGAATGAAACGATCATTTATGTATTCTGTTTTTTTTTTTTTTTTTTTTGGTTATTTTGACTTTTTTATGAATATTTAAATTGTAGATTTATTTTAAATGTCTGGTCCACATAAAATAAACATTTCAGTTTTGGGTGGATGTGAAAATAAACTTGCCCTTTTAGCTGTGTTATGCGGCTGTTTTGATTATAAAATCTCTTTTGTGCTTTATCAATTTTTTTTTGTATAATGGCCAGCCTTATCAAATATAAATTGAATGTGTTGTGTTTTTTTTGTTTTTGTTGTTGTTTTTTGTTTTTGTTTTCTTTAAGGTAGGCCTGCCAGAAAAAAAATGTTTCACATGAGGGCCATGTTTAGGGTGTAATATGAAACATTGTAACATTCTGTACTCTTCCTCTAAAGTGCCCTACAGCAGAAAAGCTGTAGGGCACCTCTTCCTCTAAAGTCAGATTTTTTTTTTTTTTTTTACCTAGATGCATTCCCCGCATTATCGTATAAATATCCAACTACTTGTCTACCCCCTCCTCAAACACCTGACTCTGCCATCAACCCAGAACACACTGAGAGAACTGTCACAATCGCTGCGTCAGACCCCAGACCTTCTCACCCAAACTTGTGACTGAAGGGCTAGCCGATCTAAAACCGTGATGTGACGTGCGTAACAATGCCACGCCCAGCTGCCCCCTGCACGACGATTTTCCAGCTAATGGATACAGATCGATGTACCAGCAGCCTGAGCGATTGTTAGGTTAATTACGCAATTAACCCTTCACACTGCCACAACCTCATTTTTGTACAGAGAAAGAGGAAACTCTGCGTTATCAGCTATAACACTATAATGATTGAGCTAATCGTCTGTATAAAACGGTCCGCAGGCCGGTTATACAGGGGTTTAAACAACCACAGTACCGTCTCTTTAGAGGTAGGAACTCGTGAGTTGCAATACAGAGCTATAGAAACAGTTCAACACTTTCAGAAAGAAAGATTTTATTACTAAAAGGTCAAACAGGAGCAATAAAAATATTTACAGAACAAAGATGTAACCAAGATATATATATATATATATATATATATAAAAAATATACAAAGAACCATAGCACAGCAAAGAGATATCAGAAAGAGGTGAAAGAGTTAAAGTACTTGCCAAAGTCCTGGATTAGCAGATCCAAGTTTCAGAGCAAAAGGGCACGGGTCTCTCCAGGTGGTATTGATGTTAAAATGGGAGACGTCTTCAACTTCTTTTCTCTTAGGCCTGACAGCCTGTTTTAAAGTCCCCAGCAGGGGGGTGGCTCTGCAGTCAAGGGCCAATCTCCACTTAGGGCATGGAAATATGGGTGGCTCAACTAGAGCAAAAATCTCCCATAACTCATATTTGCCTATAACTTTTCATCTGCACAAGTGACAGTCCACCCGTGGGTAGATTATTATGCAGACAAGTCTGAGGATTAATTAGTTATGAATTATGAAATTATATACTGCACGGTTCACAAGATCTATGTTTCTGCTTCATCGAGTGTCCGAGACATGGCGAGTGACCCATCAAACTGTTCGTCTGCTCATTGGCCATCTGACAAGGTGTCCCGTTTTTATGTACGTCTCTCATATTCCAAGATATGAGACATAGGGGAAAAATGGATTTACCAGAAGTTATCTGATTTTGTCACCTATACAGAGTTAGGTTTTATGAGTTTAGAATCTCTTTCAACGCCTGAGAAAGCTTGCCTTATCTCTTAGGAGGTGTTACAATTAGCAGGTTCTGTGGACAGAGAGACTCCAACTCTCTTGGGGGCTTTTACAGCTCCTATGACCCTCCTGTGACATTCCTAACTCACACACATACTGGCCACATGTCGCTGGGCCTCTCAGGAAGGGAGGGGGGAAGGAGAATAAGGGAGAAATGGATACTCTTAACAAAATGGAGTCTGCATCCTTCACTGTGTGTTGCGCACGTTTGCGACAAGAACTGATTGCATAGGTCCCGCTGCTGTCACTCAAACGAGGGATTGGGGGGTCTGTATTTTTATGTATGCATGCAGCCCTGCTCAGGAGTGCACCCACACAGGTGCCCCCTCAGCACACAAGATCAGACAGCGCCACACAAGATCAGACAGCGCCAGCGGGGGACCCCAGATGAGGAGGTAAAGGCTCACAGAATGGTATTGCACAGAGCAGGTAAGTAAAAAAAAAAAAAAAAAAAAAAAAATTTAGAGAGAGAAAAAAGACTTTACAACCCTTTTAAAATCATGCAGTTCATCTCCCTGCAATATGTTATTTCTTTTTAAATTTGGCACTGGTGTGTGTCTGTCTGTCTGTCTGTCTGTCTGTCTGTCTCCACTCACACAGCCACCTCATCCATTCACAGAGTCCATTGATTACTTTGTGCAGCCCTATAAATGACGGTCTGTACCTTCGTGCGGATCTGGGGCTGGGGAAAGAGTCTGCTGGAGTGTTTCCAGAGCACTGCATTATACTGTACTTCTAAGCAAACAGGAGATCCGAGCAGACAACATTGCTGTATAAGGAGCAGTGGTTCCAGTGAAGGATATTGTGTTACATGTACACTAGTCATCTTAGCAGGAAAAGACAGCACAAACAAATGTTGGGAGGATTTGGCATCCATAGAGAGTATCAGTTTGGACATTTGCAGAGACAAAATGTACAGATACACATCAACAGCCTGGATGTTAAAAGATAACTTCACCTTTGGCAACATGTTACATACGTTGCATCCATATTTATGCAGGCCATAAATGGGTCGATTTCTGAACGATTTTTCATCTGAAAACCGAAAACGTGGTTCACTCGGTAATCCAATGGTGCCATCAATCATTTTGAAAATTGGCCGTTCAAGTCATAAGTTCACCCCATATAACAGGAGAAACTTCTGTTCTCTTCCAGGTCACAGCTCATGGTCATATTCTTTTCGGAAAAATGATTGTACGATTTGACCATCATTGAGTTGAACATCGGTCGTTTTTCAGGAATTTTTCCAACATGCCCGATCACTGAAAAGGGCAGGAACCACAAAAATCGACCAGTGCCATTGACCCACTAAATCGGCCGATAATTTTGAGGTCCAGTTTTCCGACGAAAAATCGGTCAAATTTCAACCCATGCATCAGGGTGCAACATGTTACCAGTCAGCGAAAACGCATACAATTGAGTGAAGAGAGGCCAGTCCAGGTGGAAGCGTGTGAACAGTTGATCATGTGCTCACCACTGCTGCCTTGTTAATCATTTGCATGATGAAGAGAACTGAAAAGAAAAGCCTGAAGTGAACAGTTTGACTCCAAAGGACGGCCTGTCCGCTCTGAAGGGAGCTGCGATCAGAGAATGCTCCTGTCGGTTTCAACAGTAAGCGCAACTGCGCAAAACGTGATCTTGGTAACCCTGCATACGCTCTCCCAGTTGAAGTCGACGCTGGACACTGCCTTCCACCCGTCGCTTGACGTGATGACACCACGTGTACACTGACACCACGTGATTCGAAGCTGACAGGAGCATTCTCCGATCTCCACTCCCTTCAGAGCGGATGGGCCGTCCTTTGGAGTGACACTGTTCACTTCAGGCTGGGCAAATTTTGTTATATTTGCTACTTTATCTCAGCTAATAAAGATGCACCTTCAGTAACCTCCCTAGCGGTCTGATTATGTCCATATTTCTGTGCTCAAAGCGGTACATTTTTTTTTCATGGAAATATGTCGTTTTTTTATTGTAGGCCTGTAATTTTTAGGAATAAGTCACTGAAATCTGTCCGAACAAGAGTCTAGTAAACATCTTGGGTATGATAAAATTTGAAACCCGAAATCGTTAATTATTTAATAATCATAAAAAATAATATAATAATACATTTAATTCAATAATATAATCAAACCAAAAACACTGAAATTTGAAATATAGCGCCAAATTCGCACATCACTGAGCAAAGTCGCAAAATCGTTTTCAGTGTCTGATGAGGAATTTCCCCACGAATCATTATCACTCAATTCTGCAAGTGGTTCTGATTTACCATCGCTGTTCTCTAGTTGGTCTAAAACCGCTTTTGACCTAATGGGACGCTTTTTGGACGCCATGGACATTTCTCAGTTTCCAGGCAGAAAGAACAGACAAAATGCAGGCAGGGCACAGGACAAAGCACTCGGGACAAAATGTATGTGAAATGGTTTGATACAGTAATGTTTTACTATGTGATTTTAGTGAATGTCACTTTTAAAATTTTAAAATTTCCCGTCGTTCCATCCCTGTACGTCCTGACGTCGCAGGGAATGGAACCCGGAAGACAGACACTGCCAGGACATTGCCAAGGACACTGCAGGAGGGACATTGCAGGAGCACAGGAGAAGGCAAATGCAGAAGGGATCCCGGAGCAACGCTGCAGGGTATTCCCGAGTGTAGCTTGGGGTTACTGCTTGTGGTGCTGAAACTTTACCCCGAGCTACACTCAGGAATACCACCAGGGAGGTTAAGGTGCTTGACTGAGCATTTTCCACAGCGCCTATTCTTTTCAGTTCTCTTCATGTTACCAATCAGCACCTGCCTGTGCCCCTCCAATCCCCTGCCATAAGAGTGGGTAGGGGATCTTCTCCCCATTCCCACTGTCACAATTTAAAAAGAGCTCCGCCCACATTGTCATTATTTATTATTATTCAGTATTTATATAGCACCAACAGTTTGCTCAGTGCTGTACATTATAATGGGAGACAATACAATGCAATACACGAGGGGTTCGAGGGCCCTGCTCCTTGGAGCTTACAATCTAGGAATCATTCATTGTCGTGTCATTCATTGACAGCAAACTGAACGAACTACAACTACCATCTGTCACCACAGCAGAAAATGTATAGTTTTGAGGGAGTTTTCACAAACTCTGAAAGCAAGAATGAAAAAGCAATGGAAAAATTGCAAAACTGATCTGGCCACCTGAGTTTAAAAGTGGAGCGCAGGTCCTGGCAGCAAAAGGGTTAAACTATTGTAAATTAAACTTTTTTTTTTTTTTTTTTTTGCAGTTGTATAACAACTTTAACAGGCTCTGGTGTTCTGTTGTCAGTAAAGATGTGAACGGCTGTTGCAAATTCTTCTTCTTTTTTTAAGCTTTTCTGCTGTAGGGCAAAAATTGACTCCAATACTAGTTTTAGATTTTGAAATGATAAAGTGTAAATGCTGCTAATAGGAAGCCACCAGGATGCCACCTCACCACCTGCAGGACCAGATGAGTCAGTGTTGAGTACACACCTCTTGGCTCTGATACCAAGTCAGATTAGGCTCCAGGTAGTGATGAGCTTAGGTGTGTCAAGACTAGGAACAGAATCCATGTATGCAAACCTTCCAAAAACCTGTCAGCTCTCCAACCAACTGCAGATGGGCCATTTCCCAACCTGCAGCCACATGTATACACACACCCCTTCTATATATGGGGCCGGGAATGACCTGTGGCCACACATGATTGGCCCCGTACAGGTGACAGTTTCCTGCTGTGCTTGCACATGTGTGTTCAGGTAGTAGCCTAACACACCTAAACTCCTCACTAGTCTCATGATTTGCAAAATATTCATCCTTTCCCTTCTGACTCCCATATTTGATATTGGGGATTCAATGTGCCTCATCTATATCTTTTCTGGTTAACATTGCCATATGGGAAGTCACTGGGTGCTCCACCAAGTAAGTCAAACCATCAAGGATCATTAACCTCCCTGGTGGTATTCCCGAGTGTAGCTCGGGGTAACATGTCAGTACCAAAAGCGGTAACCCCGAGCTACACTCGGGAATACCATGCGGCGCTGCATAGGGAGTCCCTGCAGCACTTACCTTGTCCTTCGCTCCCGCGATGTGTCCCCTGCAGCGTCCCCGGCCATCTCCTCCGGCTGATGCCGGCATCCGGCTTCTGTGTTCCGGTCCGGTCCCTGTGACGTCGGACATACGGGCTCTGCCGGCGGCGTGAAATTTGATAATTTTACAAAATGTCATTTTTTTCCAAACAAATTTTACATAGTAAAACATTGCTGTTTCAACCCATTTCACATACATTTTGTCCCGAGTGCTTTGTCCTGTGCCCTGCCTGCATTTTGTCTGTTCTTTCTGCCTAGAAACTGAGAAACGTCCATGGCGTCCAAAAAGCGTCCCTTTAGGTCAAAAGCGGTTTTAGACCAGCTAGAGAACAGCGATAGTAAATCAGAACCACTTGCAGAATTGAATGATGATTTGTGGGGAAATTCGTCGTCAGACACTGAAAACGATTTTGCGACTTTGCTCAGCCATGTGCGAACTTGGCGCTCTATTTCAAATTTCAGTGTTTTTGGTTTGATTATATTATTGAATTAAATGTATTATTATATTATTATTTTTTATGATTATTTATTAAATTTTAATGTATGATTTCGTGTTTCAAATTTTATCCTACCCGGGATGTTTACTAGACTCTTGTTCGGACAGATTTCAGTGAGTTATTCCTAAAAATTACAGCCTACAATAAAAAAAAACTACATATTTCCATGCAAAATAAATAATGGTACCGCTTTCAGCACCAAAAATCTGAAATAATCAGACCGCTAGGGAGGTTAATAGCGGGTATGTGCAGTGGAGGAGCACAGCTGAACATGTCCATGATGTCATAGTTGTACATACCCCAAATGTTCACATTTTTGGTAGTGCTCAATTTTTTTTCTTATGTGAGAAATATCAGTAATCTTGAAAATTCTGCACTGATTTGGCAGCATAGATTAATCACGGCTACAAAGGGCGAAGACGAGCTATTAACAGGCATTTGCAGCTAGCAATTTAAAATGTTGCTAAACCCACCGCAGTAAAATCAGTCTGTATATGCAGTAAAGCGTGCTTGTTATACTCACTGTGGAACCTCCACATTGTTTAAAAAGGCTGTTTGATCCTATCTTTTCTGATATTCCCCTCCTTTTACTGTCCCCATTCCATCTGCCATAGTTGGGCTCCATGCATACCGGGCATTTTGATAACGCTGGTAATGTTAGCTGTGTAAAGGCACATTAAAAACGTGAGTTTTTCAGCGGTTTTGCATTAGCGTTTAGCCGCGTTTTGCCACGTTTGCATTTTTAGCAAAAAAGGTCCAAAAACGTCAGTTTGTGGCATTTTACCATGTTTTGCCATGTTTTCAGCATTAGAGCATTTTTACAGCTAAAAATCTTCTCTAGAAACACACTAGTCCTGGGTTTTTTTTCCAGCCAAAAAAACGTCCCTGCCAAAAAAACGTTGATTACAGTCTGTGTGCATGGACACATAGGATAACATGAAAAAGAGAGGAAGGCGCCTCTAAGTGCAGTATTGACTATTTATTTAGTAAACAATGGATAAATTGCACTTGCAAGATAAATAGTTAAAAAGGCTTATCGTGTGGTGATTAGATCCAGGTGGGACATCCAGCCGTCCAGCAGCAAACTATGTCTATAGGATCAGGAAGTAGAGTCCAGGATGTGCCTGTGCTTCAAATTGAAGCTTGGAGAGCAGAGTCGGATGTAGGAAGTGAAGGGGGCGGTAATGCATTTCGGAGCATGCTCAATGGGCTCCTTCTTCAGACCCAACTAGCGCGCCCTATAATACATAGGATAACATGCTGGGGGGTTTACTAGCTGTAGAAAAAAACGCCAAAAGCCAAAAAAAAGCCGCTGTAAAAAACGTCCAGTGTGCATGAGGACTTAGAGCAGCAGTCGCAAGTCTGCACATGTTTGGTGTGTATTACTTAGGCAGGCCATGCACTATACAATTTTTTTCTGTCCAATTTCTGCCCAATTTCCTTTAGATTTACCTTCAACTATGTAGTGCAAGAGCCTGCCTAATTGGATACAATTAAGTGTTGTTTAGGTTTGACCTCCTATTATATGGTTTTTGGTGAATCTAAAGCAAAAATCTCAAGCAAATTGTATAATGTATGGCCAGCTTTAGGCTGGCCATACACTATACATGTGAGGAAGAAAAAAAAAGAAAAAGAAGCGCACCAACCTTGCGCATTACCTCAGTAACCAAAATTTATTAAATAAAAGAATGGTACTCACAAACAGCGAATAAAAACAGGCATGTCAGTCCTCAAAGGGACTTTAAAGGCAAGATGCAAATGCGAATCCCATCATGGAGGAAGCCACTCAGTACAGCTGACGCGTTTCGAAGGACAAGCCTTCTTCCTCAGAGCTGACTGGACTGAGAATGTGTGTTCCCTTTTATGCCTCCAGACTGAAATAAGGCCCTCCCCAATAGGTTGGGCTGTCCTGGGCAGGGAGGAGGGGCCCGGGTGTCCACAAAATGCAATAAATAATCATCAAGAGTTCATAGAACCATATAGATAATAAACTTCAAAAATCGGATGAAAATATATAAAATGTATACACATATATGGAATCAATTAACACATCATTGAGACCCCTGTCTCCTTACAACTATAGGTTCAAGCTCACACCAAGATACCATTGTTGACATCTCCACTGGCCCCAGTTATTATCCACTTCAAAAAGGACAACTAGATACTGAAGGGCGAGACAATACACATTCAGACCGTAATCAACTTAATTTTTTAAGGGAGGGGGCTGCGATTCGTCCAACATCCGCAGCCCCATCAGACCAGTTAACTACAATAATCCCAGAAAGGAAAAAGAGGGAAAGCGTACGAGACGAGGAAAGAGAGGAGGAAAGGGACACAAAAAGAGGAAGGAGACAATTATAGAAGCTCCCCTCCCCACTATTAAAATTTATAATTTATCACAATCAACCTTCTCGGATTCTGAACTCGAACTCCTGAAAAAAGGTCTGAATTTTGCCCTTCCCAATCCACCCAATCTGTTTGATCTTTTTATAGATCTGAATAAATTTATTAGAAACCTGACAGTTAAGCGGTTCTTTCTGTTAAAAGAGAGAACACGCCTAGTGAGAAGGAAAACCATTTACATCTCTCCCCAGATTCCTCCTTAACGGAGATGTCATTGGAAACACCTATGCTAGACATCTTAGAAAATCTATATACAGAGGGTGCATCTATGGACAGTACATCCGAGCATCTCAACCTTACTGAAATGGCACTTGGGTCTCAGGGAGAAATCATGCACACCAGCTTCAAACCTAAATCCACTTTTTATCCCCACTGGGTCAAAGGTCATCATTTACCTACTTTTTATGAATCAGTTCTTGCAGAATTCAAGAAAATTTGTAATACTAGTGCATCTACACAGAAACAGTATCTACAACAGGACCCACTTAAAGCCTCCCTCAAAATCATGAAAGAAAATAAAAATGTAATTATTAGACAAGCTGATAAAGGTGGTGGTCTGGTTATTCAAGACAGAGCCACCTACATCGGCGAGGCCTTAA